ACTGGATGTTCCAATTCCCACTTATTTTAACAAGTGACTTTAGTAAGGACATCCAAGTGGTGTCACCAGGATGCTTGGTACCAGAGACTCAAATCGGGAATCTTAGAAATTCCCTCCCAATAAATGCCTCATTATAGAAAAGCATGTTTTTAAAAATGTCTATGTAGATTCCTTTTTTTTTTTTTTTGGTACCAGGGATCGAACTCAGGACCTTGCACTTGCGAGGCAAGTGCTGGAACCACTGAGCTAAATCCCCGGCCCTATGTAGATTCTTATTGTACCACAGAATCTGTTCTAACTGAAAAGGCCAAGGATTCCAAGATGTGCCTGGGAGAGACATCTAGTCTGAAGCAGTGAGCCAGAGAGTGTTCTGAACTCTGTTGACTCTTGCACCCAGAGTTATTTGTTTTGACTGACTGCCAAACCCTTAAGTTCAAAAGAGAGCCACAAGTGGAGAAAGGGCCCAGCATTCCTGAGGCTGGATTCCCAGAATTCTCCAACTTATTGTCAGCCTCTCACTCTAAGGTCAGCCTCCTCTCCGTGGTGGTTTGGTTTTAGAGATAGTTCTATTTGCCACAAAGAATGCTAGGGAGGTTCTGATGGTAGGAGCATCAGTGATGTTGGCCACCCACGGACTTGAAGCTGGGATATGTAAACTTCTCCCAGAAGCCACCATCAGAGTCAAGTCTGAGGTTCATGGTATGAAGCAACTGCGTCTCACTGGAGGCAGCTGCGCTCTTAGGCTTGTCATAATATACAAGAGCTGGCGTTTCCTTTTTAAAATGTTCCATTGCAATTAAATGTAAACATCAGCCTGGTTAATAGAACTTACACGCCATCAAGCTTGATTTCATCTTTGAAACTTTCCACTCTCTGCCCCATATTCAAACTTTCACTGTGTCTTGGGTTTTGAACCTCCAAATTACCCCACCTCTTCTCAGGAAAATCCTCTCCTCCACTGCCACCACCCTCACCAAAGTCACCTTTGTGTCTCCCTGAGAGAGCTCCTAACTGCTCTCTCCACATCAGTTCTACCCTCTCCTCCCACAAACCTGTTCTCTACTCTATCCCCAGAAAGGTGGTCACAGCACCGAACTCTGCGTGTGTCACTACCCTGGCTAAAAGGCTTTGCCCTAAAGCTAGAGCTCAGGACCCTGCCCTTGGCCCCTGACTGCCCCTGTACTCTCAGGCCTCCTCCTCATCTGCCCCTCTCCTGCAGTCTCACTTACCTACTGGCTCCCCATCTAATGATCATGGTGCACAGGGCACTTCTTTAGGGATATTTTCCTTGAGGATCTCCAATGTAGGGCAGGTCTTTTTGTTTTAAGCTTTCATTAACCATGTTTCCTCCCTCCTCTTAGGATTGTGATTTATAATTACACATTCATGAGTGTGATGATTGGATAAAGATCCACCTTCTCTACAGCTCCCTAGGCTCCCTGACAGCAGGGACAAGTGTGCTCACCATTGAATCCCCAAGAGGTACAACAGAAGAAATAAAAGATAGAATGGAGGCAAGGAAATCAGAACTAAAAATTGCACTGTTAAGAAGACTGCAGGGCCAGGGATTTAGCTCAGGGGCACTGTGCCTGCCTTGTAAGCACAAGGTCCTGAGTTTGATCCCTGGTACCAAAAAAAAAAAAAAAAAGACTAACTTTCAGGACTCAGTCAAAGTTATATGAGGTCATAAATTGGCTCAATTAAGAAAGTAAGGAGCAGTCTAGGAGAATCCAGAGAATGTTTAAATCCCTTATCCAAAAAAGATGGAGAAAGAGAAGGAGGAGAAGTGGGGGGGAGGGAGAAGGAAAAAGAGAAGAAGGAGAAGAAGGAGAAGAAGGAGGAGAAAGGGGAGGAGAAGGAAAAGAAAGAAAGAGAAAAAGGGAAAAAGGCTTCTATGCTTCTTCCCAAGCTTTCCACCCCATCAAGAAAAGTATAAATGTTCTCCGTTCAATACCATAATGCAACTCGTTTCTCTAAGGGCCTGCACTCCACTCCTGAGTGCATTCTAAATCTCTAATAGACCCTTCCCATGCCTCTTACTGATGCATCCTGAAAATTCTTTTTCCATGATGGGAGTCAGCAAACCTTCTATAAAAGAGTGTGTTAAATTCCTTGTCTTAGCTTTGAGAATCTTTCAGACTCAGCCCGGTGACACCCAGGGCTTACCCGGTGCCTGCCACATAAGTAGTTTCTCACAGAATACAGTAGTTTAAAAATAATTTTCAGAGGTAGAAATTGAATTAGAAAATGGAGAATCCAATTTTTTTAATGGGTCTGTGTAAATGAGCGGCTAAGATGAAGCGGTCCCAAAACTTCAAGACAAAGTTACTCATAAAAATTTAACACACTATCATGTTATCCGTGCGAGAATCCAGAGGGAAAAGTCCTAACCAGTTACCACAAGCACCGATGAAGAGGCAAGCAGGTGTCGGAGCCTAGAGTACAAGGCTGAAAGTCAGAGCAGTGGGAGAGAAGGACAGGGAGCAGTGCGGTCCTGGGCAAACACCAGGAAACACACTGTCAACAGGAGCTGCTCTGTAACATGGACCATCAGACAGTTTGATGGACCTGATTCAAGGGAGCCCAGGGTCGGACATTCCATCAAGCAGCCATAACTGATGATTTATACATGTGTCCAGAATGGAGAGTTGGGAGTGATCGGTGCAGAAACCTGACAGGTGGACTGGACTCTGTCTGACAAGTGCATAGCGCCTACAGGGAAAGAAGGAAGCCCGAGAGCTGGAAGTTTCCAGTCCCTGTTGTTGGAGGCAGATTGGTTGGGGTTTGATTGACAGTTAGCTGATGATCCTAGGCACAGAGACCATCCACATGCCTATCCTCTGGGATACAGTATCCTTTGCTTCCAGGTTTCCCAGAGATCCTCTGGTGGTAGACTGACTTCCATGTCAGGGGAGAGAAGCAGCCGACCAGCTGTGAAAGGGTGAACAAGGCTCCTCAAAATGTCCATGTCCTAATCCACCTGGGACCTATAAATATGTTACTTTATTGACGCAGAAAAAGGGACTTTGGAGATGTGATTAAGCGTGGGATCTTGAAATAAAGATATTGTCCTGGATTATCCAGATGAGCAAATGTAACAAGGAGGAAGGGGCATCAGAGTCAGACTGGAGAATGCTGTGCTGCTGGCTTTGGAGACAGACAAAGCGCCAAGGAGCAAGAGTATTTCTAGAAGAAAGAAAAGGGAAGGAGACAAATTGTTCCCTAGAGCTTTCAGAAGGAATGCATTCCTGCCCACACCTCGACTTGAGACTGACTTCAGCCTTTTGACTTCCAAGAACTGTAAGAAAATATATGTGTGTTGTTTTGGAAGCCACTACGTATGTGGTGATATATTACAGGGGCACTAGGAAATGAATAGACCAACAAACACAAATACAGTGTCTGGTCAACAGACTAGTGACTGGTTCATACATGAGTCTAGACAGTTTTGTCATTGTCATCAACCGCCCTCCCCCAGCCAGATCACCACTAGGGGGCTTGAGAAATCAAATTTCGGGATCTGCTAAGCTGAGAGCCAGTGTGCTGGCCTCAACCTTCTCAAGATCCCCAGGCCATGGAGCCCAGAGTGTCAGAGGGGAGGGAGAGAAAGGCAGGGAGCGGTGGGTTCCTGGACAAACACCAGAGTCACACACTGTCACTAAGGACTGCTCTGTGACAGAGTGGCTGAGGATCAGCTGGCTCTTCCTCGCCAAGACCACACCGACCGCGTGCTGATAGCTGTTCATGAGATGCAGGCTGTGTGGCAAGTTCTTAGAATACAGCATAGACTTTGTTTCTAGGGAGGCCAGAGTTTGAATCCCCTCTCCACTCCATACCCACATGATCATAAAGGAATCACTTAATTCCATTCAATCATACTTTCCTAAGCCTAATGGTGATGTGGTGCCTCTGGTTTGCAGTGTTGTTATAAGGATTGGTAAGGACAAGGTACACACGGTGATGATCAAAATGTACAGTGAATGTCCACAATGAATAACCTTAAGATGTCACTGTGCTCTGTGGGATCATTTTACATTTGAGACCTAATAAATGATTATAAATGTATTATACAAATGTGTCGTACATCGACATCTTTCTTTAATTAACTGGCAGTGCATGCTATTTTGGAATACCCTTTTCATCCCTCAGGACTACTAATGTCTATCTGCCTAACAAGAATGACACAGTCCACTTTTAGAGTTGTTAAAATACTTAAATAAGATGTTATTTGTAAAGTGCTCAGAACTGTACCTAGCACATAATAGCACTATGCAACTATTGGCTATTACTATTGTCATTTGTTAGGAAGGTAGGATTCATAAGATAGGAAATTCTTCCCAGTAGAGTGGAAATGAGGAGGAACAAAGAAATGACAGCCACCACACCTTGATTCAGTGCTGAGAAGTATAACACATTTGAATCCTCACTCATAAAAATGTCAGTGTCCGTAGGGCTTAGGATGCAAATAATGCCTTTTAAAAATTTATATAAATCAAATTGAATACTGCTATACCCACCCCAAAGTTGGTAAAAAGTACTCACCAATCTTTTTGGGGGGGAGAGGAGATCCCTCCATAGTATAAACAAGAACCCCAGAAAAATGTAGGTCCTCAGTCTGCGGTCACTGCAGCTACAGAGCACTCAAAGAGCCCTGTGTACAGTACCTGAAGATGGGAATCTTCTCTGCATGTTTAACACCACCACCACCATCACCACTACCATCACCACCACCTCACCCACCCACCCCCAGCTGAGTCTAGGCAGGTGGTGTGGGCAGAACTCCCTTGGGACAAGCAACTAGGACTTCTCAGAGGTGACATTTTACCTGAAAGCAGACAAAAGGAAAATGAAGAGAGGGGAGGGAGGAAAGAAGAAAAAGGAAGAGAAGGGGGAAAGAAAAGGAAACTAGAAGACGGGGGCGGTGACAGGCAGGGTGAAGGAGCCAGCGCTCCACGCGATCGGCGCTCGGGCATCGATTGCGCATGTCTGCACCCCCGCCCCCGCCCCCTCTGGCCCAACCTGCCGGAGAGCTCGGCCGCGGTCCGCGGGGAGACACCATGCAGCGGGTCCTGTCAGCGGCGACGGCGCGGGCCGCGACCCCCGGGACCCGGGCCTGGGTCTGCAGGCGGCACAGAGCTCACCAGCGGGCTGGTCCGCCTTCGCTCGGCGGAGGCTGGGTGGGAGGAGGCCTGGGGCTGGGGCTAGGGCTGGGGCTGGGGCTGGCGCTCGGGGCGAAGCTGGCGGGCGGGCTGAGGGGCGCCACGCCCGCCGCCCCCGACCCGGAGACTACGCCTCCGGCCGAGCCGCTGCAGGACCCGTCCCCCGCCGCCGGGTCTCTGCAGACCCCCGCGCCGTCCCCCGCCGGGCGCTTCGCCAGAGCCATCGAGAGCAGCCGCGACCTGCTGCACAGGATCAAGGTGGGCGGCGGGGGCCCTGTGCCCTGTCCCCGGGTCACCCCGGAATGCGGCTCTCGGGGGTCGCTTGGGGAGGAGCGGAGCCGACCTCACCCCGAGCGGTGGGTACCGGCTTCCGAGAAGGACTTGCAGTTTCCCGACGCCGGGCCACAGTCTCACCCTGTCGAGATTGCCCAAGTCGGGGTTGCCCAAGTCGGGGGTTAGATCACCTCCGCCCTGGGGACCGCCCTGCCCCGCCAGTGTGTAGACCCAACGCACGCCTCGAGTTTAGCGGCTGGGGAAGTGAGCCGAGTGGGCGTGGCCTTTCCTGGTGGGCGTGGCCTGTCGGGAGGGGCGGTTCGGGGATGCCCAGCTTGAAGGCTGTTTGGAGGTGCCGAGGTGATTTAGCGTCTTTGAACTCTTCCTTCTTTTTCTTTGCTTTTAGGATGAGGTGGGCGCACCCGGCATAGTGGTTGGAGTTTCTGTAGATGGAAAAGAAGTCTGGTCAGAAGGTGAGCTCAGAAAAGTGTTAACTTAGCGACTTGTTTAGTGCCAATTGGTTAAAAAAAAAAAAATTGACATTTTGCTGGTTGCAACGACTCCCATGAACTTGCTACTCAGTTTACATAAAGCGAAACGTATTGTAGAGACAACATGTCTATAGAATAAAGGATGCAAGTTTTTTTCTTTTAATCAGCAAAATTTAAAATGTAACTAATAGGGCTGGTGATGTAGGTCAGAGTAGAGTGTGTGCTTAGCATGTGTGAGGACCTGGGTTCTATCTCCAACACCAAAAATGAATGATAAAAATCTAACTAATAAAATAATTGGAGTCTTAAAAGTGGCTTCTTTCCTTACTTTTCTCATAGGATTGGATTTATTAGTCTGAAAGTTGTATATAGAGCAACCCATTAAGTCATCGAGTAGCCAGTATTGTATATTGTAACCCTTAAAATGAATACATAAAACCTCAGGATTTCTGTTTTTTGTTTTTTTTTTCTCTTCAAATTCAGTCCACGATTGAGTCTTGTATTTTGGAAAAGGCACTGTACTGAATAATAGGGATACACAATAGTCCTTGTTCTTAATGAGTTTATGCTTTATTACCCCTTTACCAGGCACAGGTGTTAAGTGGCATATCCATTTTATAATTCTTCTTTTTTGTTGTTTTTAAATTTTATAATACTTTTATCAAAGCACAAATTTGTAACATAACTTCTTCACTGCACAAAAATGGATCCAGTGGGGCCGGGGTTTTAGCTCAGTGGTTCCACCACCTGCCTTGCAAGCATAAGGTCCCGAGTTTGAACCCCAGTACACCCCCCAAAAAATGGATCCAGTTAGTCACCCCAGGTTTTTAGGAATCTTACTTTTAGTAAATGACATTCTAGATCTCATTTAAAGAAAGGAGTGATTTTAGAAGAATTTGATGGGAGAAGTAGGTACCTAATTTATAAAAAATCTTATAATCAAAAATTTAATGAACATAAGCTCTATGAGTGAGGGTTTTATTTTTCTATAAATATTTTCAGCATAGTACATATCTCCAGTTTAAAAACAGCCATTGTAGGGCCGAGGATGTAGCTTGGACAGTGCCTCCCTGGCAAGTGCAAGGCCCTGAGTTCGATTCCTGGTACCAAAAAAATAAAAAATGAAAACTGTCATTGTACTCCTTATCTGTCTTTTTATGTTCTTACATCTCTTAGATTTCCCCACCTGCACCCTGTGCAGAATATGAAAAACAATTTTTTTCCAAAAGCTTTATAGTATGGAGTTTTTCTTCTGATTTGCAGCCAAATTAAGTTGGTGGTCAGCTGGATTTGCAAAAGATCTCTTCATGTTTGTTTTTCTTGGGTGGCTATTTTAAGGAGTTCAGTGGAAACTCACTCAAAAATTAGGAATGAATACAATCCAAAGAACGATGATGTTTTATTTAAAAGATGTTATTTATTTAAAATGTAGACTAAAGAAATTGTTAAGATAATCTAAGAAAAATGAGTACAGTGGACCCTTAACTTACAAACTCGATCAGTGTCCAAGGGCTGGTTGTAACTCAAGTTGGTTGTAAGTCAATACAGCTGAGATCTGGTTGTTTACCTAGGTACACACTATAGATAACAAGAAGCAGATGCATCTTCCATTAACCTAATTAACCCATGTTGTTTGTATGTCAGGCTGATGGTCACTTGAGGGTCCACTGTGTCTGAATCAGGTGGAAAAGTGCACATGGTCCAATTTCAATTTAGTTGTAGGATTACATTGTTAGACTTACTGTTGTCAGTATTGCTGAGACTCTCATCTTTACATGTCCAGTTTTAAATAACTGTGGAAATAGGATATCTTTTTTCCTTTAGATAAATACAGAGAACCTTTTAAGACAGGATGATTTCAGTTTTTGAAGGATTATTTGACCATGAGGCTATTAACAAAGAATTTGCTTTTTACCCCCTCAGGCCTAGGTTATGCAGATGTTGAGAACCGCGTGCCATGTAAGCCAGAGACAGTCATGAGAATTGCCAGCATCAGCAAAAGCCTCACAATGGTTGCTCTTGCCAAATTATGGGAAGCAGGGAAACTGGATCTTGATATTCCAGTACAACATTATGTTCCCGAATTCCCAGAAAAAGAGTATGAAGGTGAAAAGGTAGGACACTCACAGTTTATTTTACTAATGGCATGTTAAATTGTTTATATTAGAACTTTACTTAAAATGTTTCATAGGGTTCTTTACTTTCAGTTTTTGTTAATGGATTTTTAAAAATACAGAGGATAATCTGGTAGGTGTTTTTCTGAAATGTTAAGATAAGGATCTGAGCATGACATTTTCCCAGCCCAGTGCAAAACAAAATATTAGTAGCCATCCATTCCAAGGCCATTAACTTGTAACTGTACAGTTTAATATTGTAATATAATTTTCATATTTTTACAATTAGGTTTCTGTCACAACAAGATTACTAATTTCCCATTTAAGTGGAATTCGTCATTATGAGAAGGACATGAAAAAGGTGAAAGAAGAGAAGGCTTATAAAGCCTTGATTATGATGAGAGGGACACTGGCATCTGACCAAGAAAAAGAATTCAAAGAAAAAGGAGGCAAAAGACATGAAAAGGATGACCTTGCTAAAGCTAAGACAGAGTCAGACAATGAAGCCAAATGCCGGAATTCAAAACCGGGCAAGAAAAAAAATGATTTTGAACAAGGCGAATTATACTTGAAAGAAAAGTTTGAAAATTCAGTTGAATCCTTAAGATTGTTTAAAAATGATCCGTTGTTCTTTAAGCCTGGTGAGTGTTAATACCTTCAGCAAAGTCCTTATTGAAGTGTTGATTTTCAGGGAATCCAAAATTCAGTATGGTCGTTAATTGTGGTAGGGGCCAGTCCAGTGCCTGCCTTTTTTTGTCTGTGGTTTCGAACGAAGCCTCACTCCCAAGCACTGGGTTGTTTAGATTTAGAAGAGGATTCTCAGTATCAAGATATTTGTGGAAGCCAGGCGTGGTACTGCACACCTTTAACCCCATTTTTCTAAGAAGCTGAGGCAGGAAGATGGCACAAGTTTGAGGCCAACTTGGGTAACTTAGTGAGACTCTCAAAATAAATAGGTAGGTTGGGCCAGGGATTTAGCTCAGTGGTTCTGGCGCCTGCCTTGCAAGCGCAAGGTCCCGAGTTCAATCTCCGGTACCAAAAAAAAGAAAAAACAAAAATAAATAGGTAGGTAGGTAGATAACCTCAGTGTCCCTGGAGTTCAATCCCTAATAGCAAATTAATTAATTAATTAATTAATTAAAAAAAAATATATTCATGGAAAATTATTTGGAAATGTTGGAAAAATAGCTTCTTCAAATAAAACCTGGTCCAAAATGGAAAGGATAAAGTGTTGCTAATATTTTTTGTGCTTTCATGGTTTCAAGAAATTAGTGTTGATTGTAGATGGTGGCACACACCAGTAACCCCAGAATTTGGGAGACTGAGGCAGGAGGATTATGAGTTTAAGATCAGCCTGGGCTACATAGCAAGTTTGAGGCCAGCCTTGAGGGTCAGCCATGTAGGCAAGACCCTTAAGTAGGTTTTATATAGGGGTAATTACTAAGGGCAAAGAAAATATAATTATGGATTTTATCTTTAAAAATAAGGCTTAGAACCATGGATTTAGCTCAGTGGTTCCACCGCCTGCCTTGCAAGTGCAAGGTCCAGAGTTCGATCCCTGGTACCCCTAAAAAATAAAATAAGGTTTATACCCATATTTAGTATAGATCATAAAATCTTTAGTTTCCAGAAGCCAAAGTGATAAGGTTATATATTTGATATAATATACATATATAAATATATATTTGTATTTCAGTATGTATCTGAAACAAAGTTGTCATTTTTTTGGTATGGGGGATCGAACTCAGGACTTGCGCTTTCGAGACAGATGGCAGCACCACCGAGCTAAAATCCCCAGCCCCTAGAAACAAAGTTTTTATGTTTGTCACATATTTTATTAAAGTAAGAACTCTTATTTATACCTTAAATCATGGATAATAGATAGTTGAGAACAAGACAGTTTACTCAAGAATTTACTTTCCTGTGGGCTGGGGATTTAGCTCAGTGATTTCACCGCCTGCTAAGCAAGGACAAGGACCCGAGTTTGATCACCAGTACCAAAAAAATAAAAGAATTTATTTTCCTTCCCCTTCCTAGTTGGTTGTCAGTTGGAATGATTTTTGTTTTGAGGTAGAATTTGTTTATATCATTATCAAAGAATGGAACATATTCATGTGAATTTTTAATTAAATATCCTGATCATTATTTTTTTCTTGTGTTAGGGAGCTAGAGTAAGCAAGGCCATTACAAAGTCAACTACATTTCTTGATGTCTTATTTGTGATCTTTTTCTAAATGCTGAAGTAATATTTGAGCTCTAAAAGTATGCCTATTTTCAGCAGGAAAACAGTTCACTTTTTAAATAATAATCAAACATTTTCTTTTTCTTTTTTTTTTTCCTTCTTGCAATGATGTCTCAAGGTAGTCAGTTTTTGTATTCAACTTTTGGCTATACCCTCCTGGCAGCCATAGTAGAAAGAGCTTCAGGATATAAGTATTTGGACTATATGCAGAAAATATTCCATGACTTGGATATGCTGACAACTGTGCAGGAAGAAAATGAGCCGGTGATTTACAATAGAGCAAGGTAAATGAATACCTCCTGGTGTGTTTAGCTATATTGTATCTTAATTCTGCTATCAGTTAGACAAAATCTTTTTCTTGTCTCCCTTCCAAAACAAATTTGCCACGTTTTGGGAGCTTTATTACATGTCTTATTTTTCCATCTATAAAATGAGGGAGCCGGCGTGGTGGTGCACACTTATAATCCCAGCACTCAGGAGGCAGAGGCAGAAGGATTGCTACAAGTTCAGGGCCAGCTTGGGCTACATAATGAGTTCAAGGCCAACCTGAACTACATAGCAAGACTCTGAAAAAACCTAAAGAAATAAATAAAATGAGGGAAATAAAACATGTTTGTAAAGTACCCCAAGATGCTTAAGCAAAAGCAATAGTAACTCAAGGAAATGAACAGGCCAGCCCGGGGATTTAGCTCAGTGGCACTGCACCTGCTTCGCATGTAAGGTCCAGAGTTTGATCCCTGGTACTGAAAAAAAAGCCAAAATTGTACCCGTTAGGTGTACCTATAATTTACTCTCTAATCATGCCTTTTCTTACATTTTAGCTGATGTTTTGCCTATTTGCCTTTTATTGTTTTTAATTGATTTAATGTTTATTTTGAAATAATTTCATAATTACAAAAAAGTTGCAAGAATAGTGCAAAGTATTCACATATACCCTCCACCAGGTTCCCCAGATGTTACTGTTTTCACACATTTGCATTATCTATGTTATTTTTTTCTGAACCATATGAAAATAAGTTCCAGATATGATACCCTATTTTCTAAAAACAAAGACATTCAAAGAACTGACAGTGAGACAATGTTTTAATCAAATGTACAGCATATATTCTAATTTTGCCAGTTGTTCCAATAGTGTTCTTTATAGGAAAAAAAATTCTAGTTTAGTTACCATGTCTCTCAGAACTCACATGATATCACTTTGTCTCATTATTAATGACTTTGTTGAGGTGGTACTTGTTAGCTTTCTCCACTGTAAAGTTACTATAACTGTTTTGTTTGGTTTGGTTTGGTTTGGTTTGGTTTGGTTTGGTACCGGGGATCAGATTCAGGACCTTGCGCTTGAGAGGCAGGCACACTGCCTCTGAGCTAAATCCCCGGCCCAAGGTTACTATTTTTACCTTTGTTATTAACAAGTACATTTTGGGGAGATACTATTTAAAAAGAGCCTGTTTCTCATTAAACTTTCTACTTGTTTTCACATCCATTGGTGACTCATGATTGAATCAGTTATTACAGTAATGCTTGCCAGATGGTAACTTTCTAATTCCGTCATTGATTCAACATTTGTTAGTTGGCATTCCATCATGAGAAGTACTTTCCCTTCTCCTTTATTTATTGATTTATACCACTATGTACTTTAGGATTCATATTTTAGTCAGTGAGTTATAATCTGTCACTGGCATTATTTAATATCTTGATTTGGAAATATTAAGCATATAAAATACTAGAACTTTGTGCAAGGGTGAATGCTATTAGATTGCTTACTTATATTTCCTATATTTTTAATCAAAATGTTTTATATATTAAATGCACTTATTTGGATTATGTAGAACCCTACCACCAATTTAGGAGTAAGTTTTGTGGTATATTATGGAAATACAGTACTAAGTGCTATCTGACTAAAATAATTAAACATTTAATATATATCTGGGTTTAAAAAACTGTTTTATAATGAGACATCCTTAGGTACATTTTAATTATAAGAATTAAGATTGAAAGCATTTAAGCTCCTGGGTGTGGAGGCACACACCTGTAGTCTCAGCCCTTGGGAGACAGTGGCCAGAGGATCTCAAATTCAAGGCCAGCCCAGGCTACATAGTCACAGTTTTCTTTTACAACTTTTAAATATTAAATACCACATTGGAGTTAATTTATGTAAATTTGACTTGGATTTTCAAACAAAATCCTAGGCAAACTGTTTATGCAGATTTTAATATAATTTATGGAGAGGATTTAGAACACTTTATGAATTTTGAACTAAAACTAGAATTTTTGTCCTAAGAGGGAAAATGGTATGATTTTGAATAATTTCATATTTGATACCTTTAGTACTATAATAGAAAAGGATTTAATCAGAATTTTAGCCTTTTAATATTTTAAAATTTAGCTTACAGTTTATGTTATGGAGTTTTGTATGAACTTACAGTTTTAAGTACTAATTTATGTCATCAAAATAATTCTAGCACAACTCTGAAAATGCTAAAAAAATTTAAATGTTCAGTTGAAATAAGATAGGATTAAAATAATGTGAACCAGATACATAAAGATTTCTTGTTTGAACTGGTAAACTTTAAATCCACTCACAGAAATATTTGAATTTTAAAATTGTTTCATTAAATTATGAAAAATTGAGTGTATTTTATTTTTGGGTTTTTTCTTGTTGTTGTTTTTTGTTGTTGTTTTTTTTTGGTACCAGGGATTGAACTCGGGTCCTTCCACTTGCTAGGCAGGCTGCGGAACCACTGAGCTAAATCCCCAGCCCTATTTTATAAGAGGAAGATTCAGCATACCAGAAAATGGAAAAAAAAAGTTGAGCAGTGTTAGCAAATGAAACAAAAATTTGTTTTACTTTTTGAACTTATTTTAAATTTTTAATTCAGAAAGAATACTAATGATAAGGAATTTATATCAATTTATATCAAGTGTTAAACTGGCCAGTTTGATTATCTCTTGATTGTTTATGGTTAGAATTATTAAGTTTGCTTAACATTTGTGAGGGAAGCAGTTCAGATTGGCAGAGGCCACTGTTGCACACAAACCCTTGGGAACCCAGATGTGTCCATCTTAACGCTTCTCTGTCCCATCTGTGTATTAGAAAGTCAGTCACATCCCCACCAGTGTCCCAGCTCCTGAAAAGAGAAAGAGCTGCAGGAGGCAGGAGGAGACACTCAGTGCCTTAAGAGTTCGATCCCTGGTACCCCAAAAAAAGAAGAAAGGAATTGATTTTATGGCAGTCTTAACCAACGTATTATTCTATAGCATTTGTGTTGGGGGGGGCAGTGCACGTTCATGTTTGTGTGTTCATTTGGTCAGAAGGAGAGTGTATTCTGTACTGTGGGTTGAGGTAGAAAAGAAAAATGAAAACTATGAGGGAAATACATGAAACTGAAATTTTGTCATAATTTTTACTTTGTTAAAGGAGCATTGGCAGAGAATTTTGAGGATAATTACTAGTAGAAGTTGTACAGTTGGGGTGTTTCTGTTTTATTATTTGACTTGTTAAAAAGGTAGCATATATCATTTTACATTACCAGCTTATTTTGTTTGTTTGTTTGTTTGTGGTACCTGGGATCGAACTTGGGTCCTTGCGCTTTCAAGGCAGGCAGTGGAACCACTGAGCTAAATCCCTGGCCCTACCAGCTTATTATTTAAAAATTAAACATGTATTAAAAGTCAGTCTGTGACTTGAGAGAGATTTTTTGGGGGCCCAAAAGAAATTAGGTTAGCAATAAGCAGTGAATTTTAATTTTTTTCAAAGGCCTGTGGTTCTTCACTATTTCACACTGAATGCCTGTGTGTATGTGTGCACGCATGTGTGTAAAATAGTGCCACTTGGGTTTTATTTTTAGGTCTATCTTTGTATTCTACTGGAAAACATGAGAAAAAGGGGCAAATGTCAGTGTTGAGTCTAAGAAAGATTATGTGGTAAAGATGAATAGATGCATGGGCATATTTTGATTTGAAAAAAAGTATCTAGTCTATACATAAAAGGGGGAGGCCATTTGTACTCCTTGAGCTTTGTTTCTAACCTGAAAACTTAGGCTCTATCATATGCTGTTTTCTGATTAGGAATATGCAAAAAAGTCAGTAGGTGGCACATGATGGTGAGTTAATTTCATTTTCATTTCTGTTCTTTGAAAAAAAAAAACAATGGATTGTTATTTGTAGTGCTGAAGCTTCCTGTCAACTCTGAGATTGATTAGTTTTTTTTATTTTTGGCAGGACACAATGATTTTAATGTGGTTGGTAGTTGATTTATTTTAGGCAGGAAGATGAAAAATTTGAGGCAACCGTGAGCAACTTAGCAAAACATTGCCTCAATTAAAAGAAAACAAAAAAAAACCAAGAAGGAAATGTCACACCTAAGAAAATGTCCTATCCATTTGCTTTGTTTTTATTTTATTTTATACAATATCTATTCCAAACTCTAATATTTGATTCAAATTCTTTTTTTGTAATAATTATTTTAAAGGAATTTAAAGGCACTAGCTTTTGGGGAAAGTTCAGGGAGTAAAAAGCTATCTTTCCAAAGATACCCCAAAAACTTTGAAATAAGATTTAGTAACCATATGTTTCTATCCACTTGTTTTGTGGTTGCATTTTGTACAAAACGAAATGTTTCCAACTGACTTCTTGGGCATAATCATAAATCTGTTTATAATACACTAACCAAGGCTTTATAGAGTTGTTATATCCCAAGAGAAAATATTTATCTTCTTAATCACTTCTTTATGTGTATGTATGTATGTATAAAACAGTACCACCCGATATCTGTCATCCATTTAGAATATTTTCCCCAGAATCTCACCTCAAAATATATCTTAAATTTTTTTTGGTCAGCATTTTAGCCACAAGATCATTCTTAGATGTAAGGGAGGCAAGGGAATTTGTATTTAACTGAGTACATTGTCCTGAGTTTTTCTTAAATGGAAAAGTGGGAACATGGATTCCCTATAGGCAAAAAAAAAAAAAAAA